CCTAAATGTGTCCTAAAGGGGAATGTTTAACCTGAGTTGAGATCCATAAACTAATTATAACTCTGACTCTTCAGGATAGTTTTAAAACTTCTACAAATCCTATATTTTAAGATACAGATATTTTGGATTCTATCTTTTTTATTATCTCAAGGAAGAAGGGGCAAAGGGGACTCGTTTTTAAGACGTTATTTACCAGGCCCATGTTTGCTGTGAGTTTTGTGTGTGCTGTTTTGATTATTTATGAGATCCCACTTAGCTAGATTGTGCTCAGTCCCAGACCTGTGTGGGAAATACAATACCTGCTGTGTAAAGGTTTTATCTATAGCCACAGAATGTTCAAGAGCATATAGGCATTTAGTCACATAAATGTGCTTATTATACGAGGGTACTTTTAAAAGTTCATGGAAAGATTCATATTATTATGATTATTTTTTTTTCCTTTTTGTCTTTTTTACTGACCAGTAATGGGATTGCAACCCTCGGTGTCGCGCCCGTACCAGGGACTGGCAACGGGATCGCAACCCTCGGTGTTGCGCCCGCACCGCGCTCAGCCAGTGAGCGGGAACCGGTCTCCACATGGGATCCGAACCCTCGGCGGGAGTGCTGCCACACTCCCAAGCGGCGCACTCTCCAGTGCGCCACCGGGCCAGCCCTTATTTTTTAATTCTATTTTTCTACAAACTTTTTGAAGTACCTTCCTCCCTGACATTGGAATCGGTCCTAATTTGCTTGCTTGCCTTATCACCTCCTTCCTACAATGCCCTTCTTCATCTCCTCATTTTAAAGATATTTTCCTGGATAGATCAATTTGTCAAAACCTGAACCTAGTCATCAATTTATTTTGTTTTATTGATATTATTATTTTACATTCTATGATGTTGCAGAGCAGTTGGGAGGGAGAGGGAGAGAGGAAAGGGGAAGGAAATGTGATGGAAGGAGGAGGAAGGAAGAGGGGTGAGATTGAGGTCTGTGGCACCCCCCACATACCCACAGGGGAGACCAGGAGGCTTCCAGCAGTGACTTGGTTATTGGTGGATTGGGTGTAGATGTCAGGGGGTGTGGCAAAAGCCCTCACTTCCCAGCACCCCTGCACGAGAACCTGGGGCCCTTCTTGCCATGGCTTGGTGGTCATTGCTGGGCTGGTTGCACATATCAGGGCCCCCCACGGCCCCCCACCCAGGGTGCTTCCTGTGCCGGCTTGGTGGTTGTCGCTGGGCTGTTTGTGTGTGTCAAGGGGGCATGGCTGAGACCCTTGGCCCCCCACCACTCTGGCTCAGGAGAGCCTGGGGTGCTTTCTGCGCAGCTTGGTGGTCATCATTGGGCTGGTTGCGGGTGAGTGGGGGCATGGCCGAGGCCCTCAGTCCTAACCACCCTGGCTCGGGAGAGCCCAGAGCACTTCCTGCAGTGGCTCAGTGGTCATTGCTGGGCTGATTGCTCGTGTTGGGGGGGCATGACTGAGGCCCGAGGCCCCCACTCTCGAGGTGGTTGCAAGTGTCACGTGGCATGGCTGAGGTCCCCAGCCCTCCCCCCTTTCTGGATTGGTAGCCCAGGGGACTTCCAGTCCTAGGTGTTATAGGTTTTCTTTGGTGAAATGAGACCTTTACTAGTTAATATCAAACTTTGTCTCTGGTTGTGGGTACTTTTTTTTTTCAGTTCTGTGTTGGATTATTTGCT